CTCAAGCCTGCAGTGCCCGATACGCGTTTAGACTCGTCTGAACCGTATTCGCTGTGCGTTCACCGACAAACATTCGCCTTGCATCCATCTACACATCTTGTAGATGGTAGTGGAGCTTCGGCTCCCTTCCACGCATCCACCATGGCCCGCGTGACACACTCCGGTCGTCCAGGTTCGATGACCGGGACATCCACCTTTCCATTCAGTATGCCAGCGCGTTGGACCGTATTTGCGGCGATTTTCCTGGCCTTCGCGACAGGGGCGCCGCGTCCGTTTTACGGCAATCTTAGAAAGAGGATGACGTTAAACTCAACGAGGACAACCTCGTCGACCACTGCACGGACCGCGGCGCCCTTCCGCCGTCGCCTGCTCTTTTCCCGGGGCGTGCCAAGCCGATGTTTGAGCCGCTCGTGGATCCGCCAGCCGACGATAATGAACAGTTGCTCAATACAGCGTTCACAGCAGCGGCTACGGCCAAGGACCCCGAGTTATTCGCAACTCTGTTAAGGGAGCCGCGGGAAGATCAGCATAGTGGCGGGGAATCCATGGAAAGTCTGGTGACTATGTTGTCAGCGCTCTAAGGGGCAGCGAAGCAGTCCTGGGACTATCTGTCTTCGCTCCCTTCGAGCACCATCCATCGCCACATCCGCTCTTTCTCTTCAGTCTGACAGTATCCCCACCACTGTCCAACTGTCCCGAGGAGCGGGAATCGTTTGCCGGCGGCGAGGGGGGGGGGGGGCTCGAACCAGTAGTGACCCTCCCTTTTGTCGTGATGGACTGGAGGGGGGGGGGTTCGAACTGGTAGTGACCCCCTCCGGTTTTCGAGGAGGGGGGGGGGACGGGTTGGGAACCCCCAGTGACCCCCCAGTTTTCTGCCAGCAGCTGTAGAACACGCTCTTTCACATATAAGCTACGCGTTGAACCGCAAGACAGAAGTTCGGATTCAGGGGCGGAGGTGGGAGTGTATAGCTTGCACTGCAGTACATGTTCATCACTGCGCGCTCGTGACTGGGCGTCGCCAGTGTCGAACATTCGTGACGCAACCAGAGGGGTCAATTCTGGCATGAGTGAGAGCACCCGCCATGTTTGCAGCTACATATTGCGAGTGGCAAAATTCACTCCAGAGGCAAGTATCGAGTGGCTGATGACCTTGCGCAATGTTCGTCTGACCCAAGTATTCGCTTTCGTATCCTCCTCCTCCTCCTCCTCCCGTCCCAATGGAAAGCGCACATGACCGTTTCGCATTTTCACATACCACATCCGTCTCTCTATCATGAGGAAACTACTCGCGCAATCACTCCGACGATAGGACCCCGCATGAGAACGTTTTTAAATTGCTTGGGGATCTCCTGCCCCCTTCCTTTTCCCACCTACTCATGCCTCTTTCTCCTCCTGCCTGCTCCTCCTCCTGCCTCAACCCCTGCTTCCTCCTCCTCTTGTCTCCTCCCCACCTCCTCCTCCTTTTCCTCCTCCTCCTCCTTTTCCCTCTCCCTCTCCCTCCTCCTCCTCCTCCTCCTCCTCCTCCTGCCCCCGATTCGGCCGAGGATGAGTCACCCCCCCCAGCCCAGAGGCAAGGGGATACCCCTGCGCTCGTTTCGGCCGCCGATGGGTTACCACTGGCGGCTCGGAGACAAGGGATTACCCCTGCCCCGGATTCGGTTGAGGATGGGTTGCCAGCCCCGGCCTGGACACAAGTAAGAGGTTACCCCTGCGCCTGGCCTCCGCCTCGTTGTCGTCGTCGTCAGTTTCTCAGTCGCCCTTGTGTCCCAGGCTACCTCGGAACCCCCGAAATTCTCCATTTCGAGCATTCGGGCCCATGACAGTAACAAGTTTGCCGACGACCAGCTCGACATACAACACTCGGATTGCCAACACGAAGTGCGAGCCCCATAGGGAGGGATGGCCCGAGAGAGCTCCGGCCTGAGACTTCCTCGCATTTCACTCACAGCCGAGGCTCCCGCCTGAGACTTCCGCCATACTCAAGCTTGGAGAGGCCAAGAATGAAGACAGTTACACGATTCCGATGACCCGCTCGGATTACTCAAATGAGCTGCGGGTCCCATAGGGAGGGGGCTCCCACCTGAGATTTCTTCGCAATTCACTCACAGACGAGGCTCCCGCCTGAGACTTCAAAAATGACAACAGTTACAGGATTCCGATGACCTGCTCGGATTACTCACGTGAGGGAGGGCGCTCTCATCTGAGACTTCCTCGCAATTCACTCACAGACGAGGCTCCCGCCTGAGACGTCCGCCATACTCAAGCTTGAAGAAGCCAAAAGTGGCGACGGTTACGGGATTCCGATGGCCTGCTCGGATTGCTCACATGAGCTGCGGGCCCCACATGGAGGGGGCTCCCGCCTGAGACTTCCTCGCAATTCACTCGCAGTTCCGCTTGAGACTTCCGCCATGCTCAAGCTTGAAGAAGCCGACGGTGACGACAGTTACACGATTCCGATGACCCGCTCGGATTACTCACATGAGCTGCGGGCCCCACATGGAGGGGGCTCCCGCCTGAGACTTCCTTAACAATTCAATCACAGACGAGGCTCCCGCCTGAGACTTCCGCCATAATAAAGCTTGAAGAAGCCAAAAGTGACGTCAGTTACAGGATTCCGATGGCCCGCTCGGATTGCTCAAATGAGCTGCGGGCCCACAGGGAGGGCGCTCCCGCCTGAGACTTCCTTGCAGTTCACTCACAGCCGAGGCTCCCGCCTGAGACTTCTGCCATACGCAAGCTTGAAAAGGCCAAAGTTGACCACAGTTTCAGGATTCCGATCACCCGCTCCGATTACTCACATGAGCTGCGGGCCCTATAAGGAGGGGTCTCCCACCTGAAACTTCCTCGCAATTCACTCACAGGCGAGGCTCCCGCCTGAGACGTCTGCCATACTCAGGCCTCAGGAGCCCAAAAGCGACGACAGCTACAAGAGTCTGATGACCCGCCTGGGATTCGAACATGAAGTGTGGGCCCCAGAGGGAGGGGGCTCCCGCCCGAGACTTCCTCGCAATTCACTCACAGACGAGGCTGCTGCCTGAGATGAGTCAGTGAATGAGTGAGTGAGTGAGTGAGTGAGTGAGTGAGTGAGTGAGTGACGATGATGATGACGATGATGATGATGATGCTGACGATGATGATGATGATGATGATGATGATGATGATGATGATGATGATGATGATGATGATGATGATGATGATGGTGCTTCTGGTGATGGTGATGGTGGTGATGATGATGACGACGATGATGATGATGATGCTGATGATGATGATGATGATGATGATGATGATGATGCTGATGATGATGATGCTGATGCTGATGCTGATGCTGATGATGATGATGATGATGATGCTGCTGATGATGATGATGATGATGATGATGATGATGATGATGAGTGGGTGAGTGGGCGGGTAGGTTGATGAGTGAGTGGGTGAGTGCGTGAGTGAGTGATGGTGATGACTGTGTGAGTGAGTGTGTGAGTGGGTGAGTGAGTGGGTGAGTGAGTCAGTGAGTGTGAGTGATGATGTGTGTGTGAGTGATTAAGTAAATGAGTGTGCGATTAGAGGAGGCAAAGGTGTGTTCTCTTGTTCCTGCGCGGAGGGTGCGCAGAGGAACACCAACCCCACTGTGGATGTGGGTAAACATGACGTGTGTGGAGGCGACGCAAGAACACATCATTGTTTGCGCAGGGATATGGAGGGGGGGATGGAGGAGTAGGAGGAGGAGGAGGAGGAGGAGGAGGAGGTGTACGAGCGGGATGACGGTGTGAGCATGCTTTCTGGTTCACGAGTCGTTTTGCACGCGAGCCCGTCCAACACATGAAGAATTTCCCCAATCAGAGCTTGCCTCTGTTCCGTAGCCGTGTTGGCTCAAGGATTCGGATCAAGGCTTCTGGCACACTAGGCTACTGCCACGCGCCCTCCGCCTCCTACCGTGCTGCCGCTCCGCCGCGATGAGCCGCGCGGTGCGCGCGGCGTTCGTCCTCCTCCTCGCCGGCCGCGGCTGCGCCGCCGAGGAGGAGGTCACGATTCAGTCTTGCACAGCTTCAGGGGGAAAATGCGAGCAAGCGTACGACGACATGATCGATGACCAGGAAGGGTCTTGGTACCACGAGTACGTGTGTGGCTCCTCCAGTTGGATCGAATTCGACCTCGGGGGCGTCAAAGCCATCGACCGGGTTGTTCTTCGAGGCAGGTATCGTAAGGGTGGGGGCTACATCCCTTTGCTTCAGGAGACATCGGACGAGATACTCATCTCTGGTTCTGGGAATCCCGAATTGACGTTGCAGGATACAAACGGCGAAGAGTGGGTTGATCGTGCAGTCGATTTCGTTGGACAGACAATTCGTTTTACGTAAACCAGCACCAGAAGACGGTGCTCTTGGGGCTTCTCCGACATCAAGCTGTTTGAGCAACCTGCATCGGCGACGCCAAGCCCGACTCCAAATCCGACGCCAAGTCCGACGCCAGCACCGACTCAGGTGCAGGTGGCCGCCGTCGGCGACCCGCACCTTCAGAATATGTTCGGTCAGCGGTTCGACTTGGCGAAGCCGGGCAAGTCTGTCCTGGTCAGCATTCCACGCAGAAAGACCGTCGAGGACGCGCTGCTTGTTGTACAGGCCGACGCGCGTCGACCGGGAGCACGATGCTCGGATATTTACTTCCAGGAGGTCAACGTCACAGGGTCGTGGGCAGACAAGGCGCAGCCCGGAGGCTTCCACTTCAACTCTCGCGGTGCGCGCGACAATAAGCCGAAGTGGGTGAACTTCGGGCCAGTGGAGCTCAAAGTCGTCCACTGTCACACTGGCGAGGGGCAGCAGTATTTGAACGTCTACCTTAAGAACCTTCGGCGTGCTGGGTTTCATGTCGGAGGGCTGCTGGGCGAGGATGATTACACGGAGGCTGCGACGCCCGAGGCAGGGTGCCAGAAGACGATGTCCCTATCGGCGGGTCCGGATGGTCAAGCTCCGCATCGACAGGGCTCCATCGCAATCGGTTATTGAGCCCGCCTGCCCTGCCGTGGTACAGGATTATACATATGGAGCTCCTTTGGAGCCGTTTACGTATTGCTCAGTTGCTCGCCGCGCCAGGTTACAGGCACGAGGCCCTGTAGGTCAACCCTTGCTTCGCGGCGCGGAGGCGTATATCGCGGCTGGGCCTTGCAGTTGTTGCCTTCAGATCAGGCAGGATTCCCTGCCGCGGAGAGCTACGCTGCAGAGTTGGGCCCCATCGCCTTACAGTTGTATGGAGGGACGGTGGGTGGGCTTGGCAGGACGAGCCGTCGCAGGATTCGGATGGTGTGGGTGGGGGGTAGACGGCATTCATGCGAACGCTCGGTTGCTTCTTTAGCAGCCCGTCGTGGACCGAGCACCTTGATGTTTTGGCGCTTCAGTGCAACGTCCTCCCCCAGCGAATTTTCTGTGCAATGCAGAGCGCCGCACCTCGAGTTGTAGCTGTCTGGCCTCTCGACCCTCGCCAGCTTGCCACGCGAGTGCAGGCCAAACTTTTTTTTGCCATTTTCCCTACCTAGGCTCTGCCTAGAAGGGTTCTTACTCTCTTAGCTTAAAGGGGCCGGGCAGTGTAAAGCGCCCCGGGCGGTTCCCCCAGTCCCCGCCCCGCGGTTCCCCCCAGTCCCCTGGGAGCTTTAGCTTTAGCTTTAGCTTAGCTTTAGCTTAGCTAGCTTTAGCTTAGCTTTAGCTTAGCGTTTCGCTTAGCTTAGTTTCGCTTAGCGTTTAGCTTAGCTTTAGCTTAGCTTTAGCTTAGCTTAGCTGTAGCTTAGCTGTAGCTTAGCTGTAGCTTAGCTTTAGCTTAGCTTTAGCTTAGCTTTAGCTTAGCTTTAGCTTAGCTTTAGCTTAGCTGTAGCTTAGCTTTAGCTTAGCTGTTGCTCAGCTTTAGCTTAGCTTTAGGTTAGCTTTAGCTTATCTTTAGCTTAACTTTAGCTTAGCTGTGGCTTAGCTTTAGCTTAGCTTTAGCTTAGCGTTACTGTTACTACTAATGCTGCTTTCCTAGGGGTTCCAACTCCTAGGTAGGGTCGCACTGGGATAATTTGTTGTCACCCTCATTTCTCTTGTGCGTGTCTAGTGCCCTGCTAGTTTGCCTCTCTCTCTCTCTCGCTTCTGACGCCCCGCAAACTTTCGCAGGAGGCGATCCATGGATCCGGCGCTCTCGCAGCTACCATTGTCGAGAAAAACAGCACTGCGTAGGTGCACACAACTTCTCTCTTCTGGCCCAAGCTAATACGGGGTTGCTTCAGGTGAGCCCCCATCGCGGCTGGAGGTGGACTTTGGCCACCTCCAGCAACACAGACGTTGGCCAATTCCAGCAACAACGAAAAATAATCAGAGCTTGCCTCTGTAGGGGTCCTAGCAGATTCTACAGGCTTACGCCACATCCGCCGACCCCTTATGTGACTGTTGCGAGGCCAGGAGTTTCTGGCCAGCGGCGTCTTTGTGAGGGTGCGGTGTCGCGCGCGGGTGCTGGCAGGTACGTAGGGGGTCCAAATGTTTGCGTGATTCCGGTGGTCTGGGGCGTGTTTTGCGAGCGCCTTGCGTGCTGTGCACCCGGGTGCGGGGTGTCCTTCTGGGAGGTCGGCCTTTCGACCCTGAACCAAGTGGAGGAGCACCGGAAGACGAAAGGAGCAAGAGTAGCGTGCGGAAGCTGTGATCAGCGAAGCATCACCGCGAAAAATGTGGCAGATGAGTCGAAACAGGTGAAGAGGCAGTTGACGTTCGCAGCGCGCACGAAACAGTTCGCGTAGCAGCAGCGCATTAGCGCCGAACAAGATTGCGAGCACGTCGCGAGGAAGAGTAAGGCTGCACGCGCGGAGTGCATTGCAGTTGGCTTGGCGGCTCGCAATGCGGAAGCGTCTGGGGGTCCTTTGGAGGCCTCCTGGGGGCCTCTTGGGGGCTCCTTGGGGCGTCTTGGCGGCCTCTTCGGGGCCTCTGGCGGCCTCTTGGGGCACTCTTGGGGCCCCCTGGGGCTCGTGGGGGCGGAAAGCTAGATTTTTGAATTTTTGGTTGCCCTCTTGGGCCCCTCTTGGTGCCGTCTTGGAGCCTTCTTGGGCCGTCTTGGGGACCTCTTGGGCCGTCTTGGAGCCATCTTGGGCCGTCGTGGGGCCGTCTTGGGGGCCTCTTTGGGCCGCCTTGGAGCGTCGGAAAACCCACGAGGCGAATTTGTGAAAACTACCGGTTCGAACCCCGCCCCCTCTTGAAAACCGGGGGGGGGGGGGGGCACTACTGGTTCGAATCCCCCTTTCCCTCCAGAAAACTGGGGGGGGGTCGCCACCCGTTCGAGCCCCCCCCCCCTCCAGAAAACCGGGGGGGGGGGTCACTACCGGTTCGAACCCCCGCCCCTCCAGAAAACTGGGGGGGGTTCCCCACAACCGTCCGCACCACCACCGTCCGCACCACCGTCCCCATCATGTTCCGCACCACATCCCCCACTGCTGTCCCCAGCACCAGTGTCCCCACCACCACTGTCCCCACTGTGCCCACCACCGTCCCCGCTGTCCACACCAGTGCCCCCACCACTGTCGCACTGTCCCCACTGTCCCCACCACTGTTCCAACCACGGTCCCACTCTCCCCACTTTCCCCACTGTCCCCACCAGTGTCCACTGTCCCCAGTGTCCCACTGTCCCACTGTCCCCGCCGCTGTCCCGCTGAGTTGTCCCACTGTTCCTACCAGTGTCCCCACCACTGTCCCCACCACTGTCCCAGTGTCCCCACTGTCCCCACCACTGTCCCGCTGTCCCCTCGCAACTGTCCCCACCACCACCGTCTCCACCACTGTCCCACTGTCCGCACCACTGTCCCACCGTCCCCACACCATTGTCCCCACCACCACCGTCCCCACCACTTGTCCCAGTATCCCCACCATTGTCCAACTGTCCCGAGGAGCGGGAATCGTTTGCCGGCGGCGAGGGGGAGGGGGCTCGAACCGGTAGTGACCCCCTCGTTTTTCATGATGGACTGAGGGGGGGGTTCGAACTGGTAGTGACCCCCTCCGATTTTCGAGGAGGGGGGGGGACGAGTTGGGACCCCCCAGTGACCCCCCAGTTTTTTGCCAGCAGCTGTAGAACACGCTCTTTCGCATATAAGCTACGCGCTGAACCGCAAGACAGAAGTTCGGATTCAGGGGCGGAGGTGGGAGTGTATGTATAGCTTGCACTGCAGTGCGTGTTCATTATTACGCGCTCGTGACTGGGCGTCGCCAGTGTCGAACATTCGTGACGGAACCGGAGGGGTCCATTCTGGCATGAGTGAGAGCACCCGCCATGTTTGCAGCTATACATATATATATATATATATATATACATTGCGCGTGGCAACATTCACTCTAGAGGCAAATATCGGGTGGCTGATGACCTTGCGCAATGTTAGTCTGACCCAAGCATTCGCCCTTGTATCCTCATCTTCCTCCTCCCGTCCCAATGGAGAGCGCACATGACCGCTTCGCATTTTCACATACCACATCCGTCTCACTATCATGAGGAAATTACTCGCGCAACTACTCCGACGGTAGGACCCCAGGAAAACGTGTTTGAATTGCTTGGGGATCTCCTGCCCCCTCCCTTCTCCCACCTACTCCTGCCTCCTTCTCCTCCTGCCTGCTCCTCCTCCTCCTGCCTGAAACCCTGCTTCCTCCTTCTCTTGCCTCCTCCCCACCTCCTCCTTTTCTTCCTCCTCCTTGTCCCTCTCCCTCTCCCTCCTCCTCCTCCTCCTCCTCCTGCCCCCGATTCGGCCGAGGATGGGACACCCCCTCCAGCCCAAACGCAAGGTGCTACCCCTGCGCTCGGTTCGGCCGCCGATGGGTTACCACTGGCGGCTCGGAGACAAGGGATTACCCCTGCCCCGGATTCGGCTGAGCATGGGTTACCAGTCCCGGCCCGGACACAAGCAAGAGGTTACCCTTGCGCCTGGCATCCGCCTCGTTGTCGTCGTCGTCGTCGTCGTCGTCAGTTTCTCAGTCGCCCTTGTGTCCCAGGCTACCTCGGAACCCCCGAAATTCTCCATTTCGAGCACTCGGGCCCATGACAGTAACAAGTTTGCCGACGACCAGCTCGACATACAACACTCGGATTGCCAACACGAAGTGCGAACCCCATAGGGAGGGATGGCCCGAGAGAGCTCCGGCCTGAGACTTCCTCGCAATTCACTCACAGGCGAGGCTCCCGCCTGAGACTTCCGCCATACTCAAGCTTGGAGAGGCCAAGAATGAAGACAGTTTCAGGATTCCGATGACCCGCTCGGATTACTCACATGAGCTGCGGGTCCCATAGGGAGGGGGCTCCCACCTGAGACTTCCTCGCAATTCACTCACAGACGAGGCTCCCGCCTGAGACTTCAAAAATGACAACAGTTACAGGATTCCGATGACCTGCTCGGATTACTCACGTGAGCTGCGGGCCCCACAGGGAGGGCGGTCCCATCTGAGACTTCCTCGCAATTCACTCACAGACGAGGCTCCCGCCTGACACGTCCGCCATACTCAAGCTTGAAGAAGCCAAAAATGGCGACGGTTACAGGATTCCGATGGCCTGCTCGGATTGCTCACATGAGCTGCGGGCCCCACAGGGATGGGGCTCCCGCCTGAGACTTCCTCGCAATTCACTCGCAGTTCCGCCTGAGACTTCCGCCATACTCAAGCTTGAAGAAGCCGACGGTGACGACAGTTACACGATTCCGATGACCCGCTCGGATTACTCACATGAGCTGCGGGCCCCACATGGAGGGGGCTCCCGCCTGAGACTTCCTCGCAGTTCACCCACAGACGAGGCTCCCGCCTGAGACTTTCGCCATAATAAAGCTTGAAGAAGCCAAAAGTGACGTCAGTTACAGGATTCCGATGACCTGCTCGGATTGCTCAAATGAGCTGCGGGCCCACAGGGATGGGGCTCCCGCCTGAGACTTCCTTGCAATTCACTCACAGACGAGGCTCCCGCCCAAGATTTCGCCATACGCAAGCTTGAAAAGGCCAAAGTTGACCACAGTTTCAGGATTCCG